TCTGATAGATTGCCTGAAGAGGCAAGGAATAGTATTGAACTGGAGGTGATCCCTCATTTTGACCATATAACAGCACCTAAGAAAGATAGTTATATTAGAAACATTTCTAAATATTTGCGTAATAATAATCTAATCATAACGAAAGCCGACAGGGGTGGAGCAGTGGTAGTCATGGCTAGATCAAGTTATGTAGATAGGATGTTAGTGCATTTAAATGATAATGATACATATAGATCTGTATCGAGAGGCCCTACCGAAAGACTTAAGACTAGGCTAAAAGATGCAACCCTCCTGCGATATCCGGCGAGGCCATTCTACGAATCCCTTCTACCCGCCTTCTCAAACGAAATGAAAGGTACGCCAGTATCAATCTATTAAGAGATTCTTCGAAATCCGGCTTTTCTTCATATCTCAGATATAACAATTGTTTTTACCGTCAATACTACCACAGAAAGGTATATGGCAAAGGCCTAGTCTGTCTTTAAATATTGTTCTACTCCAACGGCATCTCTGCTAGTGACAGAATACCTTTTGGGAAGCAAGGCTATCCTAAATTCATTGCAAACGTGAAGCCTACTCATGATTGTAAGAAAAATTCAATTATCAGTCCTCAATCCTCTTAAATGAAACAGGGTGACTACCTCTCATATCCTATGATTTGTCTGATAATTTCATACCTACCCTACATTCTTGCAGTGAGGGATTGATAAATGAGAAATGAGTGTATTTGGTGGCGGCTGTTTGCTTGCCTAAATAAACCAGTTTTGAGCTGCAAATTTGGCGAATATTTAGCTGGTAGTACTGTAGTGCATATTGTAGTATTAGGTATACTCTTTATACAGTTCATGACTTATGGGAGGTTCAAGTCCTATTTGGACTCAAAGCTTTTCAAGTAGGTGTTAAGTATGCAAATAAATCATGGGATGCCTAATTAATAGAAAGAATTATTCATTCGAAACAAGTGGGCTTGCAGCAAGCCACATTCTCTCCTAGTTTAGTATATTGGTATGCTTATACATAACGTATGGTTTCTCGTTCTGACTGATGTCTGTCGCATGATAAAAGAAAACTAGGCACGGGCTCAACGGTGTCGCAGGACGGCGAACCCACGACATTAAATCTAGGGCGCTCCTTCTTTAGTTTGTGGTGAAACCAATTCACGAATCCTTTCTAGCCAACTTTTACTAAGAAATGAAAGGTCAAATCGCCCAAACTCATTAAGGGATTCTTCAAAACCCAGCTTTTCTCTGTATCTATATTAGTGGGTCACGACTGGGCGGGCATGACTTTCAAGACAAGCTAGACCCATTGCGTTGCATTTATATCGGGTTTGTAAGTGGGGCTGTCCATGTCAGGTGAGAATACTTTCTGTGGAGCGGGGCTAAGCAAAATTATTTTTCGTATTTGAGTAGAGTTTCGAGACTACCAGTAAATCAGTAATATGAGATGTATTCACTCTATTTCGTTTAAGGTGATGAAGGACTGGTAGAAGGAGAATTTTCCCACAATGATATGAGTAGAGCTGACGTTTCCATTCAATTTCACATAGCCTTTCTTTCCTAAAAGTTGTTATCATCCCGGCTGGAGTGGACTGTAGTTTCGACCTCGCATCGGTCTTATCAACACCCCCAGCGGGAGTTGAACCGTGGCAGTGCAGAATGGTATCCTGACACCTTAACCACTCGGCCACATTGTCACGAGTGCCCTTGGGTCACAGGGCAGGTGTGAATTTCAAGGAAGGTCAGGCCTTTTGTCATGTCATAAGCATCATGTGGACCATCCATAATATTGTGGAAAGATCAAATTGTCATTAACCTATCCGGAGCAGCTTATCTTGGCCTGCCATTTATTGTGTTCCATAGTCCTAGAGTCTCATTTCAATCGTACACTCCATTTCAGATAAAGCGAAATCCCGCAATGAGATGCAGTCTCGGCTATTCAGCCTTCGCGAGGTTCCCATTCGAATGAGGCATCTCAGCCTACGATCGATGAAAGCTTTAAACTCGAGGTTTTGTCTTCTCAAGATTTAAGCGTACGCCCAGTTTGAGGGATGATTGACTACGACTTCCGTGAGATTTACACTCCTCTCATGGTATTTAATATTGTGTCCGTCTTGGGTCTGATATTCATAGCTGTCTGCTTTAATCTAGCGGACTGGCTCGGCACGTCTCATCCTTTCCGGGAGATATTTAAAGATTGTCCTAATTACGACGAGCTCGACTACCCGATTCTGGTTGGCAGTACAATCACCATCAAACTAAGCAGACTGCTCGAGCTTGTCGTCTCTAGAGCGCTGGAAACTAAACGAACAACAACTTCAAAGTCGAAAACTTGCGCAGGTGCTCTCGGCCTGCAGGCCTGCTGAAAGTGAAGCTATTGGATACAGACTCAAACCACACTAACTAGACAGCCATTGGAATCATCAAATGTGACTACTTATTTTTCAGGTGATCCTTTACAAACAAGAATGCCTACCCTCGCAATTTAGTGCTTGTACATGTCTGCTTCCACAAATAAACTAGAGTCAGAAAAATGCTACAGATAAAAGTACTTGATGCTTTAGCATGAACAGATGAACTTCAGTTACCTATTATTGACATGCGTTTGGTCATTACTATCCCTTGTTCTGGATACATACAGCATTTTTCCACCACCAGGTAGCAGAGGAAAGGAGGTAAACATGTTCTTCATCGCTAATTGCCAGCGTCTAGGGCCTCTTTCTCCATCCGCTCAGGTTCTAGAACACCTCATCAGCTTACACAAGAGGGTTCAAATCGTATGGTTTGATTTGTCTACTTAAATTCTTCTACGACATAAAGATTACATTTTAAGCACATCTGTCTAAAGTTGGAGGGAATGGATCGCATCTGGAAGCATGTATTCTACTTTCACCATGTCATTCTTGGCATGCGCATGAGAATCTTTTAAACCTTAGTTCTTTTGTTCTGCCTGTGAGTCAGTAAAGTCCTGTATGAACAAAAGAGGGTACTGTTAAATTGACACATCCTGACCTACGCAAGTATCATAGGCGCAAAATTGGTATTGGCTTATAGTCTGTGAGCTCGTATGTGATGACCTCGTCTTGCAGACAAGCGAACAAATATTTCATGCTTTGATGCTGGTTTTGCGTTGAGTTAGTGGCCAGAGAATTTCGTAAACTATTTTGTCCAAATGATCTACAATTTCCAGTTGTTCAGCATCGTATTTGTGCTATAAAATCCTAGAAACATGTTTAGCCAGCTCAGAAGCAGACTTAAAAGATTTATTTTTCCTTGGGGTGCGTCAGGATTCGGTTAAATGCGAAAGAAGGCTTCCTAAATTCTCATAGATTACGAGCCTGACGGGAGGTGGAGAAAAGTTCAGTTTGTCTTTGAGGTGCGTTAAGCTGGGCCATTGCTCAACAGCCATTTTGATCCAAGGAAAATGACTCCTGGTGATCTTTGTCAACTTATACGAAAAATATCATTTGATGACTTATTTTCACTTTGCTCATAGCGCGTA